GTAACACAGGTAAGCCTGATCAGCCGTTCTCCCTTCCTCCTGAGCTGCTACAAAACAGGGTTTCTCATGTTGCTGGCAGGGCAAGCCAGTGGTTGCTGTGTACCACTCCTGCAGGTGGCTCAGGGCTATGTTTTTGGCTGCCAAGAACATCATGTCCCAGTGAAGTGTTCAGCATTTTCCACTGTATGCAACACGCCTGGTTTTATGCCCGGCATCGGTGGTGTTGTTGTTGTTGGAACCGGTTGCACTTGTCTTGCCATACTTAGCCTTTGTTTTGTGGGTTTAAGGCAGAACAACTTGCAGGACTTGCTGGTCTTGGTTGTTATGTTAGGGCTTCCTTTCCATCGCTCTTATCTCTGCGCTCAAGACTGATTATATCTTTTTTCCCAGTGACAGCTCATTGCACACAAGATGGCCAGTTTTCCATTGCTGTTTCTCGAGATGTGACCCTGCCACCCGTTGCCCTGGACTCAGTGCAACTGGCCAGTGGACACAGTACTGGCTGTGTCCCTGTCCTAACAAACAATGTCTTTGTTGTGTACCAGTTTCCGCTCTCTGCCTGTGGCACTACTTTTCAGGTAAGAGCTGCAGCTGTTGCTAGGCTGGAAGAGCTGGAACAGCCTGACATGGCTTTGGCTGCTTAATGGACATCCTACAGACTTCCACAGGCCAAACGCTGTTCTCCAGCATCATACTGATCCAGCCCGACTTTACCCCAGTGATGGTGCCTATCTGTCATTCCAGATGACTGGAGACCAGGCCATATATGAGAATGAGCTGGTGGCAAGCAGGGATGTGAAGACTGGGAGCCTTGGCTCTGTCACTAGGGATAGCACTTTCAGGTATTACCCTGAGGCTGATGTTGCTGGGTGTCTGGGTTCAATGTCACTAGAGAAATTCCTGCTTGTCACAAGCTCTGAGTTCACATGAGGGCGCTGGAGTAGCTTGAAGAATGGTGTGTCTCTAATTAGTCAGTATAAAGCTGGTGTTGATCAATGACAATCTGCTGATTCTCAAATCTAAACATTAAAAAGAATTTGAAGAATTTGTTAAAAGGAAGTGACAGAAGAAAGGGGATATAACTAATGAAAGCAGATGATAGGTTGCCATATTGGAGAAAAGGGGTATCAGAGTGGCTTTTCTTATTTGCCTGATTTGGAGCTTTCCCACCAGGTTACATGTCCAATGTACTTATTCCATCAGTGGGAGCTCCGTTCCCTTGAGTGTTCAGGTCTTCACGTTGCCACCACTCCCTGCTCTGTCCCAGCCAGGCCCTCTGTCTTTGGAGCTGCATGTTGCCTCAGGTAGGAGAGGTTTGCAGGACCTGCTTAAGGCTCTCGGTGCAGGGCTCTGGTCTCTGATGAGTAACAGTGGAGTATTGATGGGTTAACCCAGCACTGCTTCCCTGCCATGGTGGGAACTTACTGATATGGCTATAAAGGATGCCTATGCCTGTTTCTTCCTGCTTTTAAATGGCTCTTGGGTTTCTTCTGTCCCAGATGGAAGCTATACTTCCTACTATATGGACAGTGACTATCCTGTTGTGAAGACTCTGAGAGACCCTCTCTATGCAGGGGTCAAGATCCTTCAGAGAACAGACCCAGACCTGATTTTAGTTCTGCACCTCTGCTGGGTGGCACCAAGCACCAACCCCCAGCAACAGCAGCAGTGGCCACTTTTGGTGGATGGGTAAGTGACTTGAAAAAAACTTTGGGCCAGGGGAATAACTTGCTCTTTTTCACTGCTTACCTTTCCTCCTCAGGTGCCCTTATGCAGGGGACAACTATCAGACACAGCTGTCCTGCCTGCCTAGTTTCACACTGAAGACA